CAGATTACATGGGACAAGACGGTAAAAAAAAAAATTAGTCTCATGTTTAGTATGCCATAGACAAAAAATACATGGGACAAGATGAAACTATTTTTAAATTTCACGGAACAAAACTTGATGGTTTTTGTTCCACCAAAAAAGGTGGAACAACATGAGATTAAATATCAATTGACTATATTACCCTTATTTTCAATAGAAAACCGAATTACCACAGCTTCCTTCAATGACCCGTCTCTTCCACAATTTATAAAAAATTGGAATAAACCAAACCAATTGTTTCTTCTTGTTGTTTGTTCTCTTCTTGATCACATCTAAGTGAGTAGCAAAGAGACAAGCCTCAGAATCCTGCATACATATAGATATAGAGACCATGTTAACTCAGCAGCATACAACCAAACCCAAATATTGTTTCTAAAATACCATTGTGAATATGGCTCCCAAATCTCCAATCATTTTCACATTTGTTTGTATTCTGCTATCCTTCTTGCTGATTCTGTGCCAATAAATCAAACAAGATTCAGCCCAATGGAAGAGTTGAAGAAGCTAAGGAGAGTCAGAGCTAAGCTAAAGAAGATCAACAAACCTTCATTCAAGACCATTCAGGCATTTTGACTTTCTCACCTTTTTGCTATTTTGAGTTTTGACTTCCATTGAGATGAAGGCAACACATTATGGTTTTGAACGATGAATCTCACCATGGAGATTGAATCGATGTCTTGGGCCTTGGGGCGTACGACGGTCAAAACGGCTAAAAGAATATGAAAACTTGCTGTATTAAAGGTTAAAAACAAATGGAATTAAATAAAGGACGAAAGACATCTATACCTAGATAAAGGTTAAAAACATACTATTGATGGTTTAAATTAAATAAAGGACGAAAGACATCTAATATTAAGAATTATATATACTAACAAATGGAATTTAAAGATCAAAACATCATCATTAGAAAGAAACAACTCCACTGTTATATGTATACAACTAAAAAGAGGATACATCCATGTAAAGATATGTCTCATGGAAATAGTTGACACAACAAAAACAAGAGCTTTCATGTTTTTGGTCCAGCTTGCTTTCCATAGAACATCTTTTGGACAAGAAAAACTACACTGTTACCTGTATAGATTGAAGCCTCACGAGCGGCCACAGGCATGTTTGAAGTGTTAGCGACAAGTGTAGTACGTTTCATGACAGATTCTTCACGACCGTCAGGCAATGTCATAATCAATTGGGGAAATTCCATGAGAACTTGCCAAGTTATTATAGAACATCAAAAACAAGCATTCATCAACAACTGAAACAAAAAGAATTATATTCAGTGGGATGTACTTCTGCCATTTCATTTCCTCTCTCTCCACAACCAACATAAACGACAGTGTCCGAATTTGAATACTGCATGATGACAGGCAAATAATTAATATGGAAACAATATCAGCATCTAACTATTCAAAATTTCAAATGAGTGACAACCCGCTATACATCAAAGATACCTTGGATAGAGCTTGGCTAATAACAGTTTTCCCACAATCGAATGCACAAGGAATGGCACATGTCCCACCAAGCACCGAGGGGAAAAGAGCATCAAGAACACACTAATACATACAATAGATTATTAGAATCACATTAAGAAGCAAATTGGCAATGATAGAAAGCCAAAATAAACATATTCCATGATAGAAGCGATTACTAAGCTGGACTTTGTGAAGGTTATTTTACCTTCATGAATCACAGGTTCCACATGGTTTTCATTATCAACAATTGCAAAGGTTACATTTCCCAACCAATGCAGTGGCTGTGTAAGGCAAGGTGCAAGCCAGAGCATCTTAAGGCACGTTATGGCACGAGTTCTTTTAAGGCATTATTTGGCTTTGGTTATATTGGGTCCAACATTTAGAACAATATCAAAAAGTCAAAGACAAACGGATTAACAATATACTGTTGGTGGTCAGAGGCCTAGCTCATTATCTGCATGTGTCAATAACTTTGTAACAAAGCAATATTAGTGGAGTCAGTTGACTGATGTTTGGATAACAAGGAGTCATATAAAATGCTCATATGTCATATTTCAAGTGTGGGTAATTCCATAAAGCAATCAAGCAAACAAACGTTAGCTCACAAAAAAAAGATGAGTACCAAATTGCAATCCTGTAAAATTACTCGCAGCATTTTATTTTGACATGGCACGCCTATTATGGGTATGGTAGCTCACTTGTCACAGCATTCGGCTAGAGAATTAACCTCTTCCTCCACCCGATCCAAAGCCTAAAACCGTAAAAATAAAATAACTAACTCGTTATGTTGATCGAGTGATTCAATGATCGATGGAGAAAGAGAATGAAGTATGCGAACCTGCTGGGCGGCATCGGAAGCAATGAGGAAGTCGTGATTTATAGACAGAGAACGCTTCTCGATAGTTGATCGGAGGTTACGGCGAGCCGGAGCAGTGTTATCGGTATAGAAAGTGGAGAGTGTATTGAGAGAAGCCAACAGATCTGGATTATCGGTGCGAGTTTCCAGAACTTTCTTCAGCTTCCTTGACAGCCCCGGCGCCAGCGCCGTTGTCGTCCCCATTTCTCTCCGGTTGGTCTACCTTCAATTACGATCTTTCTCCTTCGTTTGTAGCTCTTCATATGGAATCGGATGGAGAAATCGACAAAAGTGGTATTGAACCAGAAGCCATCTTGGAGACTGAATCGTCGGAAGTGAGCGTGGAGTTGTTGAAGTATAACCGGATTTCTTCTACAATCGTGTGAATCACTTTCCAAATTCGATATTTCGACCGTATATGCCTGGTATCACGAAATCCGAATTGGGATAATTGTAAAAGCAACAATCTTGATTTTGGCATAAATAAAGCAACAATCTTGATTTTGGCAGAAATCAAGATCAAACTAGAGAAAATTATAGAGTGTCTTCAAAGTTCGTGTTTCTTCCCAAAACCGATCATCCGAAATTAAAACTCAAAAACTGTGAAAACGGGAGTTTTGCGTTCAGGGGGCGTTGCCCCCTAAATATTACCGGGACCGACTTAGACTAATACAAGCGTGCACTCCACACTCTCCATACTTGTTTTAGAACAAAGTTCAATCCCTTTGTAACACACGTATAAAATCCATTACACTAAATGTAACCGGTGACACTAAAATCACCAACAGGAGTTGCGTTGGAAAGGGCAGTGAGCATGGAGTTGCGTTGGAAAGGGAATTGAGCGTGAGGGTGAGAGTGAGAGTGGAGTCTTTTGAAAGTGAGAGAGAGCCGGGTTATCAAAGCATGCTTTATAGAGTTGTACTAAATGCATTAGAGTTTGTATATTTTTAAGACTTTAAGATTTAATGTATAAAAAGATAGTACCTTATGCATCAAAACTTGTTTTTAAGACTTTTACCAAATCTCATTTATAAAGTAGTATAGATATTTTATAAAGATAATAATTAAGTATTCTGTTAGAACTCAATGATTATCCTAATTATATTCTAGATTTTTTATATTTAAAATGAGATGTTTATCCTGTATTTAATTGTGTTTATATGCAGTTAGTTACACGAATTCAGATATGAAATAAAATCAGATAGAGATGAAATCGTTTAGGGACGAATGAGTTTAAGAATTTTTACAAATTTTAATCAAATGCTTTATAATATAGTATAGATAAAACTTCAAATTAATTCGATTTGTTTTTTAAAATGCTTCTGAAAAAGGACGAAAGCAAGTAGTCGTTAATAACGAAACGATTTCCTAGACTTACCCGCCAACCCCCACCCCACAAAGACATATATCTATGGCGTTGATTCCATCTCTTTGGCAACGATTTCAATCTAAGTAAGTTCATTTGATCATCATATGTGTGGTTTTACTTAGAGATCTTCAGCTCCCCCAATAATATTCAATAAATTATTGCCAATTTTATAGTTTATTTAGGATCTTACATATCATCAATGGCGTATCAGTCCACCGGAAAATATGGCACCGATGATTTCGATATGCAAACAATCGGAAACTTCCTTAGTTGTGCTTGCAGAGGTGATAGGGTCGGGCTTAATTTGATGTTGAGAGATGGAACGTCACCAAATGTGCAGGATTATGATAACAGAACTGCTCTTCATCTAGCTGCTAGCGAAGGCCATGCTTCGATTGTAGAGCTTCTTTTGCACTATAAGGCCGATGTCAATCTCGAGGATCGGTGGCATCGAACTGTAATAATTAGGGTTTTGGTTGTAAATTTCTAGGTTTTTCTTTCGATTGTTATTGGATGATGAGATGAATAACGATTGATGTTATGTTTTTGATTCTTAAATTCTAGCCTCTAACAGATGCAAGGCTTTATGGGCATCGAGATATTTGCAGGATTCTTGAAGTTAATGGAGGCAAGCATTCTGTAATGAACAGCCCGATGGTAATTTCATTTTTGTTTCTAAATCTTGTTCGTTAATTCATTAGAGATTGGTTATATTTGATTATTTGTTCACTGGTTTTAGACAGTTCATAATGAAGAAGATGCAAAGGAAGTGAATATCGAAATTTCGGAGATCAATTCTGAGCATTCGGAACGAATTGAACAGGTTTAAGTCTGCACATTTGGTTGTTATAACTATCATTCAAAAAAATTTGCATAGAGCATCTTCAAGTAGCCGGTATAAATGCTCTTTTGTCGGTTAATTGTCTCCAGTCGGCCGGTACTGTTTTGGTATGGAAAGCGCCAAATGTTTTGGAATAAAATTAAGTTTTATTTTGAGGTTATATTAGTAAAATGTAAATCCGTTCTACCTTGTTCCATGGGGTGGGGCTGGAACATGCGTGGTTCACATAAAAGTCATACCAAACGTGGAACAGTGATTCTTGTTCTGTTTTGTTCTGTTATGTGTACAAAAGACGCCCTTAGTGGTGTGGGTTGGATATGGTCTTACTCGGAGACTCCCATTAGTGTTTTCACGTCAATTGATCTTGATTCACCAATATCCGATGTTTGTCAATACCTAAACTAACTTATTTTTTGATCTTATTTAAAAATCCCATTTGATTGGTTATAAGCTAGCTTTTTGAAAAGCTACTTTAAAATAGCGTTATAATAAGCTTCTAGGACTTCTTTCCATTATGTCCCTTACTTTTTTTTCCAATCGGTTTTTCAACATGTCCATTTATGTTATTTTGCATTGTCATCTAGCTTATCAACTATCTTTTGTGACTATTTTATTCTTTAGCTTATTAGCCAACGACTAGCTTTTTCAGTTAATAGCTAGCTAGTTTGCTAAACATAGCCTAACTCCTGATGAATTCGTTGTCCCTTATCAGGGTGTATTGGGTGAGTCCGAAATGGTCAAGTGGCGGGGAACATGGGTTGTCAAAACAATAATCAAACGACAGATAAACTTCCCAGTGAAAATGTTTGTCAATATACTTTCCTACTCTTATTTACGTACACACATATTGCAGTCTTTGGCTGTTCCGTAACATGTTTCTTCCAACTTTACGTAGGGTTTTGTCTGCTAATGATAATACTCACTTAAGGGAGCTTCGTCATCCAAATATCGTGCAGTTTCTTGGTTCTATCCAACACGATGGTCAAATGATACTCATAACCGAACATTTGTCAAGAGTAAGCACATCTGCAAATCCTTATTTTTCATCGATATGTATGTTATTTTTCCAAATTAAAACCGAAGTACATAAAATAAACTCATGAAAGCTAATATTTAGCATAATGGTCTCTTTATTTGGTTTATCTTCTTCATTAGGGAAGCTTGGATGATATTTTGATCAAAAGAATAGGACTTGATCTACCACTTGCTCTGCGCTTTGCACTTGATATTGCTCGGTACAGTGCTTCCAAGGGTTATTTAGGAGAATAACCTTATGACATATTATTTTTTATATGCATGACCTTTTGACAGATTCAATAACGCATCTGCCTAACAGAAAAATGCCTCTTCTTAACACAAGAATACCTTAAAATCTATCAGAAGGTCATGAATTTATAAATAACCTGCCAGAAGGTTATTCTCCTAAATAACCCGTGCTTTCGGCCTTAATATTTGTGTTGGACAATAGCGTAGACAATAACATCATATTGTGTTGTCAGGGGAATGAACTACCTTCATCATCACACGCCTTGCCCCATAATGCACAATCATTTGGATCCTAAGTAAGCTCAAGGCTTGATTCGGTATTTAGCGTTACATCTGCTTGAGTCTCACATCAGTTAGACTTGGACTTATTCTCCTCGATATTTGTTGGAATCTGTCTTCTCTCCTCAAGGGCTCTTTTGGAGAGTAATCTGTTGGGGTTCCACATTTTTCACAGTACCGATTGTGTTCAAATATTTAAAGCTGCATTCTGTTTTTGTTCAGAAACTTGTTGCAGGATGAAGGTGGCCATTTGAAGATTGGTGAATATTGGGTCCAAATGTTGTACGAGTTACATCCAAATCAAGAGTGTATGTGCCATGATTTTCCTTTTTCTGGAGATGTTTTGTTGTGTTCTTGTGTCTAGTGAATCACTTGGTTTTGCAGGTCAAAATGCAGGCACTATCAACCAACATCTGATCAATAAACAAAGAGACATCCAGTCATTTGGACTTATATTTTATCAGGTATTTACTCTTTAGGGTAGAGGTCAGGTATGCGTACATCTTACTCTTAGTCCCACCTCCGGGTGGGATATAATGGGCTCGTGTTGTTTGGTTTCATTTTATATGAGGTATCTACTCTTTAGATTGGAGTCAGGTTTGCGTACATCTTACTTCTACACTCCACCTCTTGGTTTCTAATGTATAACATAATTTAAATTTATAACTTCAAATTTTAAGAAGGTCATTCAGCTAAACAGCCACTATTTCTGTTGCAGATGGTGGAAGGGAAGTACATCCCTAAAATGAGGCATCTCAAATCGGTTGATTTCGAAATGAAATTCAATAGTAAATGTCCTGCAAGAATTCAACAGTAAGTCAATATTCGTTGCATATATCCGATTGATTTATCGCCCATCATCTTTTTCTTGGTTGCTATCGCTCTGGTCACTTGAATTTTTGTTACAAATTAACAATGTTTTTCCTCCAGGGACGGATCTAGAATTTTTCTCAAACGATGACATCGTTTGACTACAAGAAACAAATATAAGGTTTTTTTTTTCAAACAATGACACTATTTGACTAAGAAAATGACAGCAACATGATTCGAACTCTGGTGTAGTTGGAAGAAAGGCCTTGCAAACCAACTCTACTAAATAAAACTTGTTCTCATTGTAGTATCAAAATACATAGGGTGATACACAACAAATTAATACGATGACATTTTTCACGACCCTAAATTTTTTAACACTAAGATGGATGAACAATACGGTGGCCACTTTATGCTCTACATTTTGTTTTCAAGGATGAGTCCTCTTTGATAGGGTCATTGATCCAATGGTACCCTATAGAGCCTAGCCTCTGAAGAGCTCAAGAGCTCAATGGTTCAAACCTCATCAAACATGAGAAGTGCGTGTGTGAGTATTTACCGTATATAAATACATTTATACTTAAAAAAGATCAAGTCCTCTTACCAAATTGTTTTTTGGTCGATTCTGGCCTCAACTTGTTTCCTTTGGACTCGGGTCTTTGTTTGCCTTCGACTACCATATACTATCATGAATCAAATGACACACGACGCATGTTCTTGGTTCAAACAATATGCACATGCTTAAGCTCTTCATATAACATAACTACATAAGAATATTGTATACAGGTTAATTAAGCGGTGTACCAGCGATATTCTTTCTCGCCCCGACTTCAGTGGCATCATCGACACCCTAGAAGAAGTGTCCTTGTCTCTTGGAAAGCCTTCTTGTGTGTGTTAAGCATGATTGTAGCTACTCCATGACTATAAATAACGAAATAAAGGAAATGTACTATTTACTTCATCGAATCGAAGGCAGGTTGCATACATCTTATTCTCTATATACCTCAAATTTACCGTGCTGGTTTGGTTGTTACGATAATATACAAATGATTTGTATGTATGTGAAAAATCTTGTTCCATGTAAGTCTGATCTAACATCAACGACGTGTTTTTGGTATGACTTCAAATTTTAATACTGTTAAATTGATAAATATTTAACGATTAGAAACAATTTCATCATCTTTCTTTTCGTTTGATATATCAACTATCCTCTCGAGAAAGCTTAAATAGAATTGTTTTTCTCAAGCTTTTTTTATTCAAGATAAAGATTAGAATATGGTAAACGGGAAAAGAGTTAAAAAATTATAATAAATTGAAATCACGTGTAGAACTTGTGATTTTAAGTAAAATTGTCATTTTATCATTTTTAACTAGAAAAATATTACGAATCACAAAATGATGGACTTCGATGCGATTCTATTTTAACGCGCCCTCACCGGGACATGTATAATTTAACAGTTGACCTTACCGTCACACTACGCCTCACGTCATTTTCAACATTGTAAAAAGTACGAACTAATTGTTATTTCTTTTAAAGAAAAATATTTTCTTTGTGATTTTTCATGGTTTTGGGAAATAACATCATTTCATATTTGAACATTAACAAATATTTTACGATTTTAAAATACTTTGTTGTTTTTAGAAAAATTGATAAAGACCAGCCTAACTAAGTACAAATTTAAAGCAAACCACAAGTACCAACAGTGTAATTCACATTCAAAAATACTGTTGAATTCTTATATTGTTCTTAAAAAACAACATTTAAAAATAAACACTGAGATCAACGATGCACCTGCTTTATTGTTGATTTGTCAACAAATAAAACTATATGCAAGTTATTATTATATAACAATACTAATAATAACAGTGTTAAACTTAACCATTTCAAGTATTTTCGATTAGAACCAAAGTACTCACATGGCTCCATATGTCACTTGGTGTTAGTGTTTCGATAGGGAAGCGACACGGGAGCTAGTTGTAACGGAGACATGTACAAATCGTCAAACTTACAAATATTTTTGTCACTAATACATGAAGTAAATACAGGTTGCAATATAAGTTAAAATTTTCGATAGTATTTTGTAATAAGTCTATAAATCTGATGATTGGATAATTTATTTCAGATGTCTTAATACTATTGTTTTATTTTAATGAATACAACATGTTAAATAAGAAGATTAAATATCGTGAAGAGGTAATAAAACAAAGTTAAGAAATTTTCATATATCATTAAGAAAAAACCCATTTGAAGATACATATGTGAACCCATATGAATAATTTGTAACGTCGATTCACATATGCATTTTCAAATAGATTATTTTTGATTTTTGTAGTAATTTGCATATTAACTGTTCTTTAGCCTTTTTTATTATTTTCTCATGATATTTAGCTTTTTATTTAAACCGACTAGATACAAATGTTAGTCTATACTGAAGAAACAAGCACGATGGATGGATGATAATTTTTTCAAAATATGGGGTATTGTTTTACTTTTACCAAAGTAAGGGGCTAGTATTGTATATTTACCAAAATAAAGGGGTTTAAATGTTATTATCCGACGTGGAGAATGAAATCGTTTTTTCCTATATTTGCTTCGCCATCGTATATCTGTTGGTCAGCTCCTTTCAGTCTCTATCTGCAAATCCTCCTCCTTTCTCTCTCTAGGGTTACTTTCTCTCTCTACATCTTCAAAATTTGTCCCTCATTACATCATCTTCCGAGCATGGCCGGAATTCGATTACCTCCGGAAGACACCGATGCTTCACAGTTGCGACCGCCAATAACTGCCGATCTGATTTCCGATGATGACCGCTCTGTTGCTGCTGACTCTTGGTCCATCAAAAGTGACTACGGAAGTACTCTTGACGACGATCAGCGTCACGCTGACGCATCTGAAGCTCTCGCCGCACCCTATCGTGCCGCCTCCGATTACAGGTTAGGTTATTTATGATAATTTCTGCTAACGAGCTGTTTCCTAATTATTAGCAACACGACAATGAGTCAATGAAAGTAAAGTAGTTAGATTATTTGTTTTTTTATTTAGGCGTATTGCTTGACTAGGTAAAATTTCGATGCTGATGATTGTTCGGGTTAGCATTTGATACAACTTCATGTAATATTGTAATGTATATATGTAAACATAAATTTAACTTCGATCAGAAACATTGCTTAGACAAAGTTAAAGGTTCTTCCTAGAGCTGATCGAGTGGATTTTTACTCGATATCTATTGGTATCATACTATTTCTCTCTGAATTTGCATTTGTTGTGTATTCGTAGTTCTGACAAGGAAGAACCTGATGCTGAAACAATTACATCGATGCTAGGGTTCCAAAGTTACTGGAATGCACAATATGCAGATGAATTGACAAATTTTCGTGAACATGGGCATGCTGGTGAAGTTTGGTAAGTTGTTGAATACTAGTTGGTTTAACCTTTAGTTGTGTTGTGTGACTGCTGGTTATACATGTGTTTTCGAACTTGGCTTACATAAAAATGTTGGAAGATGCCTAGAGCAAAAATAACATCTTTTAGTCTCAAAAGCTTTTTTCCCTTTTTGATAGTTCTTGCTGTTTTCTAGGTTTGGTGCTGATGTCATGGAAATGGTTGCATCCTGGACAAAAGGCCTATGTGTTGACATTTCTCAAAAGCAAGTGCATAATCATCATGACAATGACAATTCTGAGCTTAATAGACAAGGAGATACAGATTTAGCAGCATGGAGCGTACTTGATGTTGGAACTGGCAACGGATTGCTTCTTCAAGAACTTTCTAAGCAGGGGTATATTTAACTTTACCTTTTCTTTTCTTTGATGCAATGATGCCGTACATTTTGAATCTTGTCTCCCCTTTCCTTCTTGTATTTGGTCATTTCCTTTTCGTCCGTCCCCCAATGAATATCAAAGGATGAGTAGCATATCAAGTCGCACTTAGTTGACATCTCAGCAAGTCTGATAGTTGTGGAATTTGGCATGCCATATACTTTTAACTAGCGGGGCATATTATTTGTACATCGACTTGCGGGGAATTGGCAAAATAATCTGTGTGGGTCTTCTTTTGTATATGATGGATATTAATTCATTGGGGATTTTATATGCACATGTTGTAATGAAACATAAGGATTTATTAATATGGCATTTCTTTCTCTATCCTTGTCTAACATATTTCTCAAGATGTATGGCTATAGCAGATAGAAGTAATATAAAACAAGAACTTTGCTAATTATATGCTCTTTTGTGTTTGATTTGCATTTATTGGAACATATGGCTCATATAAACATTCAACATGCTTGTAGTCCTGCAATGTGCACGCTTGCACTTACTTAACTGCTTTGTATGTCTATTATGCTCACTCTTCCTCCTGGTATGGTAATGTTAGTCTTGTTCATGTATACTGTTCAAGTTTATACAGCCTAACTATTGATGTTAACGAATATAGGTTCTCTGATCTAACCGGAACAGACTATAGTGAAGGAGCCATTGACCTTGCTAGAAGCCTTGCGGACCGTGATGGATTTGCTAATATCAAACTCTTGGTATGATGTAATACACATACTTTTGGTTAATCTATGCAGCAAGCACTTTGCATATAGAATTTATAGTTTATGGGTCCTGACTCATAGTGATAAGGATGAAATGTGTTCAAGATATCTAAATGAATGATGTTTTGATTTAACTCAAGAGATTATTTCCTTCTCTTCTACATAATAGAAATTTGTATGTAAAATGCACATACAAGGTACTCGAGCACTGATGTAGATGAAGCATCATTGAGAGATTTAGATTTTTTCATGCATTTTTGCTAAATCTTATAGGTATATTGAGAAGGGTAATGCCATACATTTTTTAGATTAGCTGCTCTATTTTTAGTATAATTTTTCTAGGGTAACCGCTTACATTGTTTCACATCCTGGTTTAGAAAGTCACAACTCAGAATACAGTGGAAGCATAATTAAAACTATACTAACGTCCCCCAAATAAAACTTAAAGTAAACAAAAATATTTCGAGATTTTATCGGATAGAGTCATCCGGTCCTGTTCTCTACTCTGCTTATCACTTTGACGAGTCTATGGAGCCCTATCCTAAGATGTACACATATAAAGTGAAATGCATAAGCCACACAACTTAGTGAATTCATGTACAAATTATCACACACACAAATTTTTTAAATATAAATAACATTTCATGACAACGGAACATATGACAAATAGAGATCTCAATGCTGTTGTGTAACCACATTCCCCAAGTCGTTTCCTGTCTCTAGAATCACATCCCTGGAACACATCTCCTGTGTTATCCATGCGACGATTATCTGTGCAATGCAATAGCCACAATGAGGCGCCTACCTGTTGAATCAGCGTCCTGATTCAAAATTTTGGTTACACCGACCCTCAAACTATGCCAAGCATATGAAAATGGTATAATGCACATATAAGAGCACACAGAAGCATGTATCACACATTAAATGCATGTACACCTCAGTTTTACCAAATCAAACATGAAGTCACCTTGAAGTGTTCTTTTGCTTCTAACTTGTGTATTGTTTGACGTTTCTACTTTGAGGCTGCTATAGTAGTCATGATCATGTTAACATGCATATTTTATTGTTATATGTGTTACGAAAAAACCTATTGTAATTTAAAGGTTACTAGAATACAGAACCAAGCAGAGACTGAAATTTTGGAAAATAAGATACAAGGGTGTATGAGGTTTAGCCTAAAACCATATTATACGGTTTGCACGTGTTTGGCGTGGTCTTTAACCATATGAGATATTGTTTAAGTATGTATTTCCTACGGCCTTTTCTCTACTGTTTCATTCACAAGTTTCTGCCTTTTTGTTACATTCCTAACTTGCAACCTTCTACTTTTCAAGTTTCTGCCTTTTTATTGAAGTACTTCTATTAACATGTTAACCATCCTTCCAAATCAGTCAATCATCACTTCCATATATAAAAAATGTGATGCCTAAATCAATCCATCCCTTAATTTGATTTCTAGCTTGACTTTGAATCTCCTTAACTTGAATAGGTTTCCTTGCTTGATCACCTTTCCTCTTTACTAATTGCTAAATCATATGCTCTTAGTGATGGTGTGGTTGACAAGCTGAGCCTGCTCAAGTCTTTTCCGTTGATTACCTAATAAGAAAGAACATGAAATGAATACAAACAAAATATTTACCTGTTGAATATGTTTCCTGAATTTTATACCATCAATGTTGATGTCTGTGTATACTTTCTTGTGATAACATGGTCTTTTTGGGTATGGGGTAGAGTGCCTATTAGAACTTTGCATTACGTATGAAAGCAGTCAAATACTCATAAAGTTGTGGAAATAGAGTAAATAAGCAAATTGAAAGACAAATTGCTTAGCAGCAGGTGTCTGCATAGTGCTGAAAGAAGAAGTCACTTTTCTGTATTAAGGATGGGTGTGTAGTTGGGAATTCAATGCTAGGATCTCTGTTTTTATTGTCCTTTTATGTCTTAAACAAGCATGTGAGTTGAGTTCAGTCTGCTTCCTATATCAACGGTTATTTATAAAATCTTTTAGGAAATGGTTTCGACGGCCCTAGGAACATATGAAACTACGCACTTGATGTGCATTTGTTGTAAAGAATATACAAATTTGACTATGTTTTACTTTTCAACTCAACTGGGATTTAAAGTTCAAATATATATGTGTGTATCTCACTTTAACATTTGAGTTTTCTGGTTATGTAATGATATGATAACCATTACACGAAATACATTTTTCACTAGTCATTTTCGTTTTCAGGTTGATGATGTTCTTGAAACCAAGTTGGATAAGAAGTTTAATCTGGTTACGGACAAAGGGACTTTAGATGCAATTGGACTGCATCCGGATGGCCCTGTTAAAAGGCAAGCTGTATATATATAAACAAGGTGTCGGTCTAAAGGTGGATAAATTACAATTTTGATTATTGTTTAATTGATTTACAGGATTATGTATTGGGAATCCATCTCAAGAGTTGTAGCTCCTGGTGGCCTATTGGTAAGCTTCTTAACTACTTCCTCCCTCCCAAAATTAATGTCCACATTACTATTTATATTTGTCCGTAAATAAATGTTCACTTTCAAAAATAGATAACTAAATTTCCATATCTACCCTTAAATAATGCAAAAATATATGAATTGATGAGGGTAAAGTTGTCATATGGTTAACTAAAAAACGTAATTACTATGTGCCATTTCTATTGTGAACACTTATTTTGGGACAAAAGGTTATCTTCCCCCTTGGATTGTATTGAAGAAAGGCTGTTGTAGAAGGAAGAGTCCAAGTCAAAACCAATTCTAGTTGGTAGTTGCTTCTTTTGCTCTAGTGGATAACAAGAAACCCTTGATCACCCTGGACTTTCAAAAACTGCAATTAGCACCCTGAATTTTCAAGAATTGCACTTAGCACCCTTTATGTTTTTGGACTTGTATTGGAAACTCACCAAATGTATGATAAACAACCAACAAAAAGAAGTCTATACATTTTTAAGCATCTGTTTTGAATATGAGAAGTTACAATTAGACCTTTTTATATAATCATGTATTGTGTTATTGTGGTTTAAAATCTAAATTACTTCTTGGCACAAGTTTTTTCTCATAATCCTGAGCATTTCTTAGCAGTTGTTTTGTGTTCCACTGCGACGAAATTGAATTTGAATTTGATCTGTGGTGTAGGTGATTACTTCATGCAACAACACGAGAGAAGAATTGGTAGCGGAAGTTGAGAACTTCAATCAAAGAAAAGCTGGAGAAGGAGCAGAGGAATCCAAAACGTTTTGCTACTTGGATCATATTCGGTCATACCCAACGTTCATGTTCGGAGGATCGGTTGGGTCCCGTGTTGCAACTGTCGCGTTTCTGCGTAGCTAAGCTAAGCTATATACGGTCTAAAACCTGAGGAGAAAACAAAAGAAAAATTTTCAAAAAAAACTGGACCGGTTTTTTGATTTTGTTGACCATTTGTGAAAGGTTCAACTTTACTTATTATTAACATGTTCATTTGTATCAGCTCTCTGTTTGTAAGACCTTTACCCACTCAAATCTCTCAACAACTTTAATTGTTAAAACTGCAAGTAATTTTTTTGATACATTTTCTTATGTTTTTGGTATTTTATATATTTTGGTAAAAAGGGGTTTTAACCGCTTTTGGTAGCCGACCCTGGTTGTGGAGGACGTGGATATAATGGATGTTGACGGTGGTAGGCAGTGGTAGTGGTAACCGATGGTAGAGGTGGTGACCATTAAAGCAAATATCATATTAGAGTTATATCAAATGAAGGTAAATCGATAATTATTTCGTTCTATTTTATCATTGCTCCAACAAAAAAAGTATTTCGTCTCATCCGCTCCTATCCGCAGAACATTAAATTTCGTCTTCTCCAATTCCATGTACCAAATGTAGTATAGTCATAAAGAACTCAATCTCCAAAGGAATTATGACATTACATGCGGTTGTCAAATTCTAATCACTATCTATTTATGTAAACGTACCGCTCTGATTGGTATTTCATATATTTGATAAATAATTATAAATATCTATTACCATCGAATACATTATCTTTCTAATACTAATTTTTCATACGAGGATGAAAGTTGAGCTTAATAGAAACTAATTAAGAATTGGACTTTGTTTGATAATGCTGTTATTTCCTCGTTTAGTAGAAATTAAATGAAGATTTGACCTTTTATCATCTAATAATTTGATTCTCTTCTTAATTCTAGCAAACCAGCCATGTAATTTAAGATGAAAGTGTTTCGTCTTTTTGACATAGTCTTAAACCACTATAATCATCGATCGTAAACTTGTAATTCCAAGACACATGTGACACATACACCATCTTATCGAGTTGCCATAAAGATTTTGTTTTCAACTTTACGTATTCTTACATGAGATTTTGTTTTCAACTTCATATGTCCTTTTCTTTAACGACAACGAGATTTTATTAAAAAAAGCTAGCAAGACGTTAGAACAAACAATTACATATAGGAAATAGTTAGAAGAGGATTATGAAACCAACCCACCCAATTAATCTTAAACTTGCTACTTCTATTAAAACCCCAAAAATATCTGAGTCACAATCCTGTCAAAAATATCTGTCTTTTTTAACTGGGTCTCATAAAAAATGATCACATTCCAAAATAGAGATGGCCAAAAATCGGTCCCGGGCCGGGCCTTAACCGGTTACGGCCGGTCCTAATCGGGACAAAAACCGTCTATAACCGGTCCCGGTCCCGGTTCCAATGAAAAACACTATAACCGGTCAAGCTTGCTCATAACCGGTTACGCCGTCCAGTTCCGGTTCCGGTCCCATAACCGGTTATGGTCGGTCCTTTGCAAAAAAAAATATTTTTTTTTCAAATTTTTGGTAATTAATATATATATATATATATATATATATATAACAAAACATATTTTTAAACGTATTTATAAAATTAAACGTATTTATTTTTAATATGTTTGTAATATGTTATTTTTAATATGTTTGTTATAAATACGTTTTATTATAAATACGTTTAAAAATATGTTTTGTTATATATGTATACGTTTAATTTTATAAATACGTTTAAAAATATGTTTTGTTATATATATATATATATATATATATATATATACATGTTGACTTTTGTTGACCGGGCCGGGCCGGGCCGGTCCTATAGCCGGTTACATAACCGGTTCCAGTCTTAACCGGTCTCGGTCCTAAAAAACGTTAAAATCCATAACCGGCGGTCCACAACCGGTCCATACCGGTTCCGGGCCGGTTCCGGTCCCTCTCCGGTCCCGGTTCCGGTCCTTCGACGATTACGGGCTAGGCCGGGCTCATTTGGCCATCTCTATTCCAAAATGATCATATATACCAAAACATAGTGAGAATAACTTAGATGTGATGTATAATTTGACAAATTCATTTAAATATTAGTTATATTAACAATGCCCTTTCAATAAATTAAAGAAATAATATTTGTTTATTGAAACCGGCTTTTTCAATATTTTATATATTTTTTTTCAAAAATATGTTATATCTAATTTAAGATAATTTAAAAAAGAATTATTTAGATTTATCCAAAAACTCAAATAATGATTTTTTTAAATTCATTGACTTTGACTTTGACTTTGACTTAAAAAGAACACCAAATAACACCAAATATATAAATTTCTATTTGGAGTTTGTCGTTTTCTTCCTAATTAAATCAAATTATTAGAGTATTTTATTCCATATACCATATTTTTCATGATTTATTGGCCTGCAATATAATATTATTATTATGATGCAGCCTTGCAATTACTTCTCATACAATTTTTAATTATATATTGATTGATAATTTATTAAATAATATTTAATAAACGTGTCTGTAATTTTTTTTATTAACCTGGATATCCAACCCGCTATACAAGCTGACTAATTCCATAACGACCACCTGTTTTGCAGATAGCCTGGAGTCACCACATTTGAACCTCCGTAGCCACAAGGGGATTTTTATTTCTCCTTGGATTTGAACCTGAGACCTCCTGGTACTTTTGACATTTGGAGCCAAGTTCAAACCAATCAGCCACCACCCTTGTGGTTTGTGTCTGTAATTTTATACATGACATGTTAGCAACACAGGTTATCAAGCACCATAATCATAGCTTTGATTGAAAGTATGACATTTTTTTTATTAACCTGAATATTCAACCCGTTATGCGAGCTGATTAATCTAAGAACGACCATTTGCTTTGCGGGTAGCCCGAAGTCATTGTATTTGAACCTTTGTGGCCACAAGATGATTTTTATTTTTCCTTAGATTTGAACCTGATACCTCCCGACAATTTTAACCTTTGGAGCTCAAGCTCAAACCAATCAGACATCACTCTTATGGTTAAATATGACATTTTTAATCATAATATATAGTCGTATATATGATCATGTCCTGGTCGCAGTCAAATCATGTCCATCGGTCCTGCTTATCTATCAACCACATGATATTAAGAACACCTCCAATAAATTTGTTATAATTTTTTCAAAAATAAAAAAACAAATCACAAAATCTCAACAAAAAAAATCATATTTAACTCTAACAGTTTCTCTATTTCTTAAATTTTAAAATCAATAACAATATTAAAAATTCAATACATTTAATACCAGAATGAAATTCTAAACATTAATTTGGAATATTATATCCCAAAAAATAAGAAAAAAAAAATAACTCTTGGATGTGCGGAAAGATGCAAGAAGTTATTGTGAAGATTCTCTATCTCTTTTTCATTTAATTTAGCAATAATTAATTATAATTATTTTAATTATAAAAAATTGGATGTTGGGATACAAACAAAAATAAGACCATGATATTTGACTTGGTCAAGATTCATTCAACTTAATTATCCCCTAATTTTTTTTTAATTTTTTAATTTTTTAAAAAGTTGTTAATTTCCAAGAAAGCCCAAATTACAAAATATTGTCAAGGCCATTAGCCAACAAAAACAACAAATATTAAAAATTAAAAAATTAAATACACAGAAATAATACAAAAGTAAACGAATGTCGTCAAAATTTTGTAAAACGTAAAAATCGGGCGTTGCTTTCTTTCACTTATTGATGGGTTTTAGGTGAAATACTCATTTCGATAGGGTAGACGAAGCGTGAAGGAGATGGATGCCTGAGCGGTTGAAAGAGTATGGTAGTTTATAGGTTGAGATGAGCAACGACGGAGAAATACAAAGAAGAGCGGTGCCAACGAGGATTGAACGGCTCATCATGCCACAGATTAAGGCTATTTTTTGTAGATATTTAGGTTGTTTTTTTAAAGTATGCATACGTAATTTGAAGCAGAGTTCCAACCGTATGGTCTACGATACTCGTCTAATCTCTCTTTTGTCCTCAGAACCACACCACATAGTTCCAGCAACAACAAAAGCTACAAAAAAGACAGCAGCGCACCTTGATTCTGTCTGTTATAACTTTCATATTCGAATCAACAAGATTACTCGATCTCCGTAGCAAGAAAAAAAAATTAATACCAACGAAGTCAAGCTTGTTGAAAGAACCCTCCAAAACATGCCTTTATAAGAACGATAACAGTTTTTCAAAGTAAAGTCTTTATCATCGAAATCCATGCATGATGTAAATACCCTCGATTAAAAAAAAACACTTAATATAACCTTCAGCTCCAATCAGGCACGTATGCGTGACATATAACAAATTCAAATCAGGACATGGTTCTCGTCCAGATTTGAAGCCGCCCACGTGATAATTAGCATAAACGTTATTTTCCAGTCTTGTAAAAACCAGTAAAATATAGTTCGAATGCTTCATGAAAATTTTAGCTTTCGTTTTCAAAGTTTTATATTGATATTATTTTGTTTTGGTTATCCGTGATTTTTATTTTTCAACTATTTTTTCATTTATTATTATTATAATCTGTAAAACACACGTTCAGTTGTAGTACATTCACGTTCAACTATTTTTGTAATAAACTCAACTAGCATCCGAATCAACACTAAAATAGAAATTCTTATTACAATTATATCTGATATACAACATTAAATCGGATATGACTTTTATGGATTGAAATCCGAACCTTAGAAAGTTGCAAGTGTTCGGATCTTGATCCCCATTGGATCCTTGGATTTAATAAAATTTGAGATCAAATCTTAGATTTGATTATTTTCTATCCGGAGTGGAGAACCTGATTGACCTATCTAGACATGGGAATGAGGAGGGGAGGGAATGCGGCGGGGACCCCAATTCCCATCCTCATCCCCGATCCCAGTTCTGTCCCTGTCCTCATCCCCATTGGGGAGTATGATCACATCCCTCCCTGTCCCAACGGGGAATTGGGGATTTTTCTCTCGTTAATATAAGATATTTTAAGTCAAATGTGTTAAACATCACACTCTGTCGATAATAATCTAAGTTTAAATATCACATATTTTCAAATTTTGCTTTTATAGATTATAAAATATTCATTATGTGAACAAAATCACAAGATAATACGTAATTGTTTGATCAAACGCTTTTGACTTTCAACATTTTTTATTTAAAGGAAATTAAGACCAACTTAAAAAAATGTATATAAGAATAAATGTCAAAATACTATTAATGTATCTAAATTATATTAAATCTAATTATTTATAGATAATACATTTAATAATAAATATATCTAATATTTGGGGATGGGGGACCATCTCGATTTTTAACTTTCGGGGATCCTCGTCCTCTGTTCCTGTCAGGGCGGGTACACTGGTTCCCCAATGGGGTGGGTCTCATTCCCTTTTGGTCATTCCATCTTAATTTTCAATAATCCACATTTTATTCTAAGTTATTTTAGAATCTATTGTTCTTACTTCATACTAATTCTGTAAAGGTCTTGTAACATTTGTATTGATCTAAGAACGAAAAACCTTCAACAAAATCGAAAACTAGTTAAAGTGGGGCCAAGATCATTATCAAAGCGGATTGATTTGTCATCTAGCCGAAATAAGATCAATATAAGATAAAATCAAATAGTAGTCTGACAAATATTACTATTGATAAGCGGATTTTTTGAGTGCAAACTTGTTTAACAAGTTTAGCTTATCAACTCTTCCAACATTCACCCTGGTATGAGAATGTACTCAACATGTTAACCAAAATAAGTTATAAATCACTATTTTATTAGTGTTAAGATTTTCTCTGTTATTCCCTTTGCATATAAAAATGAGATAGGATAGCAAGTGTCTATATTAACTATAAAGGTTGAAATAAAGAGTCAAAGACCTTCCAGCCTAGTGGTAAAGGCTTGGGCATGGTATAGTCATGAACCCGAGTTCGAGCCCTGGGAGGGGAGTGTTGGCGACATTTAAGTGAGACCATGTTTAGCCTCCAAATTTGCCGGGGATTAGTCCAAATGAGATGAATAAATACGTTAAAGTTGGATAGTAGCATTTAATGATATGATGAATATAAAAGGACACATTTGACATACATTGCTTCTCACTCATTTTGAAAGAACTTTTGAATGATAGTTTATCAGTCAAAATCGGTGTCACCATCTGAAGAACTATCTTAATCCTTCAAACCTGAAAAAGTATCTTTCTTTCTCACTTTTTCAGTTGTTAGCAAATTCATCACCAGTAAGATTATTTAGGATCACATGTCTTACCTTCCTAACTTCCACAACAAATCTGTAGATTTTTGTTTTAATACAAAATATAGAATTAAAAGTGGAAAATTTGTTGTGTTTGTTTTCACCACCCTTCTTCAAAAATATCTTGTGTAAGTCATTATATCCCAAGACCAACAGTGAACATATCGTAACATTTTTTAAGAAATATTGTTATAACTTGTGAAAATATTCTAAATCTACGAGATCTGGTATAATTTCCAAATATATTGTGAACACTAGTTAAACAACAAAACTAGATTTAAATTTACCACTTGTGAACACCAGGTATAATTTTTTTAAAGTTGTTTTGTGTTCACAATGTGTTCATCTTGTGTATGTGTGTGTGTGTGTGTGTATATATATATATATATATATATTTTAATCATGAATGTATTTACGTATACTAGAAAAGTACTCGCGCAATGCAACAACATACATCTTGATTTTAATATTTTATTTTATTTTTTATCTTAGTCGATGTTATAGTATGGTCTTATGTGATTTTGAAAAAGCGATAATGTTTTTATTTTTGAATAAAATATAAATTTGAGGATATCATAAAATTTTGACAAAAATATATCGATATTAGTATCAAATTAACTATTTAAAATTCCTATTTTTTGTGTAATTTTTTAATTCAGTTTTTTATTATAATTTAATTTAGGTTAAATAACAAAGTAATTTATATTTTGTTTAATAATATAATTTTCTTCTAAAGATAATAATTATTTATTTTGTTAGAACTCGATAATTATCCTAATTATATTTTGGATTTTTTATATTTCAAAATGAGATGTTTATTCTCTATTTGATCATATTTATCCGTAGTTAGTTACACGAATTCAAACACGGAGCTTTAACATAATTACTTGTAATCTTGAATTTTAAGTAATATGCATCAATATACAGTACTTTATGCATAAAAAATGGTTTTTAAGAGTTTTTTGTCAAATGTTTTATAATATAGTATAGATATTGCTGGAGAGATGAAAGGATATATATATATATATATTGGTTTTGAATTTGATTTCTTTTCTAAAAAAAACACATTAATTATATCAATAAATTAAAACATTAATTATCTTGTTAGTTATCTTAAATTAATGTTTTAAAATAAATCTTATAAATTATGAATTTTTTTAAATGATTAATCCCTCAATCCAACAGACGTGAATCATTTTTCAACTCATTTATCCCATCAATTGCATCTCATATATATTTAAAATTAAAATAAAATAAAATAACTAATAAATAACAATTTTGGTTGGCTTGTTCAATTTAACAACCCCTTTTATATATTTTTATTGGAAATATAATACGAAGGGCGTTAGCTAAAAAACATCATAAAAGAATATAAAAATAATAATCAAAATAAATTAATTCCATGATAATATTTCCTTTCCAATAATAAAAATATATCGTGTCAGTATTAATTCATCGAATATTGTTAGAAATTTACAGAACATAAAAACGTGTTATACTGTTTCAGATGAAATACTCGTTTCAAAGTTTTGGTCGTTGTTTAGGGATTGAGATGAGCAATGGCGGAAATAACGCAAAGGAGAGCAGTGCCAACGAGAATCGGCAAGCTCGATGTACCACAAATTAATGCGATTGTTTGCGGAAATTCTGGTTGTTTTTTAGGTTTTTGTATATAACTCGAAGCGCCGTCCCATCCGTACGGTCTACAGTTCCTCTCCAATATCTCTTTCGTCCTCATCACCTCAATCCTATCCTTCAAAACCTTCATACTCGAATCCACAAGATTACTCGATCTCCCTATCAAGAAAATACATCAACAAAGTTAACGGACACAGAACCAAACATTTGTACAACGTCTATTTGCAATAATCTTGACGGCTAGCTCAACTAGCAAATAGAGACTGAGGATTTTCCTGACTGTTATCTTCAGGGTCCCATAATAATTACCCGACATGCACATAAACTAAGTCGGACACTCATGGTTAACAAAAATGTCTATGTGCAATTAACGACACCATAGCATGTGAAAACCCGTCACGAGGATTGTATCAAGTTGGCTAAAAACAACACGTTTCCGTTCTCGAACGGCAAACTGAAGTTCTACTTATGATTAGAAGCCATCACTTTTATCAAGAAACCCAAAATTTTAAACACAAAAAATAGAACATATCGCTCGTTTTACCTTCGTCTCGTACGCTCTGAGCTCTAATCTCTAATCGTAAATGCACTTTTTGACGTGGTGGCAGAACTGCGGCATACGCTAAAGGAGATACCGACGTCGACATCTTTGTGTTGTGACTCGGTTTCGATGGATTTTGGGGGAATGTTTTTATGGACTTTTTGAACGATGGCTCTCTATTTATGATCAAGTAATTGGCTTGCGATAGCTATTTTTGAATCACATCGTGTGTGTTTTTATATATAGAAAGATTCTCTATCATATTATATATATATAAAATATATATATTATATTATATTTTATATATATATATGTATATATATTGCAATTGGTGTATGTATTGATTGGTGGTTTGGTTTGGTAGAGACAAAACAGGAGTCCAAGGAAAAACGAGGTAGGCAGCCATGAAATATGTCCGAATGCTGTCGATTTACGACGCGGTTTTCGTACACTTCGAGCTGGCCACGGGTCGATTCTATCAATACTATTATTCCTTCGGTCTTAAAATATGATTTACGAGAATTATGACTTCTCATAAGTTTCTATGTTTAAGTTATTTATTAGTTTTGTTACAATTAAATCGGTTTTATTAGTTTCATCTATTTGGATTCGTACGATCCCTCTCGTTTATTTATTAATCAAAATTTTAAATATTCGATAAATAAATAATTAAATGGTTGATATTTTCCAATTTTAGATTTATTTAATTATTAAATATGTAATAAATAATTAAATAATACAATTTAAAAAAAAAACATATTAAGTCAAAAATTGCAACTAAAATTACAGTCATAATACGTCTTACATTTTTCATTCACAGTCAAACGAAAAATATCGAGATGTTTTAATAAATATTTTTCGGTTTATATAATTAATGATGAATTTTAAACTCGGGTTGGGTTCACGTGAGACCAAGGGTTTTTTGTGAGACCCGTTAGACCAATTTATGTTCATTGATCAACTTTATAAGCATATGGTCTAACGGTATAAAGTTGCACGGTGGCAATTTTGTAATTATTGAGAAGTCTCGTGGYGTTTATGAATGTTCAGATCTGACGATTGTAGATCTAATCCAAGGGTTGAGAATTGGTCTTACGGGTCTCACGAAAAACTATTGGTCTTACATGATCCCAAGTCTTTTAAACTTGAATATATATATATATATATATATATATATATATATATATATATATATATATATATATATATATATATATTAACTAAGGATCATGTGAGACCAATGGTTTTTCGTTAGATCCGTAAGACCAATTTCTTAACCCTTGCATTAGATCTATAATCTAACAATCAAAACATTCATAAACGCCACGCGATTTCTAAATAATCATAAAATTGCCACCGTGCAATTTAGACCGTTAGATAATTAACTTATAAAGTTGATCAATGAACATAAATTGGTCTTATGAGTCTCACAAAAAACCTTTGATCTCACGTGAACCCAACCTTATATATATATTTATATATATAAGATTTAAATTTAATATACGATAAAAAAATTAAAATTAATATATAAATTAGTTGAACGAGTCTTTGGTTACATAATGACGACTAATTAGTTCACAACAGTTTGTATTTCAAATCCTTTTTTATATTTAAAAAGGGAAAACTTGGTCGCTTTTGAATTTTTTATTACGATGGTTTGAAAATTTTAGTCGATATTTATAATAATTGTGTTTTATTTTAATTTTACAAATAAACAATTATTTGAACGGTAGAATTCTAGAAGACGTGGTATCAAAGTTTTGTGGAAGTTTCAATAACGGGTTGTTTGTTTATCTCTTAATAATTCTATTAAGAAGCAGTTTCTGAATAGATAAGAGGTGAATCTTATTTGGTAAAAAAAAGTTTGTCTCGTAATGATTCTAAAACACTCGAAATGATTTTGTATTTTGGGTCTATATTAATCATTGAACACGATAATTTCATTATGAATAATTACAAAACAATTATGTTTCATTTTGCATTATATTATAACTCGTTCTGACCATTTAATTATTATGCACCAAACCATCCAATAACTATCTAAAAGTCATCAAATTTTAAAAACTAAAGGTTGCATAAAAGTTTGACTAACCCGATCAACTCGGTCAATTCAATCTGAAATAACTTAGTCCAATCCAATCAACTCAAAACTATTCAATATTTAATCGAGTTGTAAATTTTTTAAATCATATGTATTAGGGTTGGAATTGGATTGTACATTTGAACTCAACCAAACCTGATGAACTGATGACTCTCTCTACCATTAATTTAAAGTGATTATTTAAAATATATACATTAGACATTATACCGATTTGTATTACCTCTATTTCAAATTAGAACACAATTTCAAAAAAAAAAAATTCTTGCTTGTATGAACCCTCAAGTTTTTTCTTTGAGTTTGTTATACGTTTTTTTTAAAAGATATTGAAATATTATTTCATTTTTGATTGATAAGAGGTGGTGTTGACGTTTGAAATCAAAATCAATAAGACTGTTTGTTTTTGTAAATTAATAGATGTCTGAATTTGTATAAGACCCTATTTTACCCTTCAAAGTATGATAATGTTAATTTGATGTACATTTATACAATTTTAAATAAATCAAGCTTAAACGATTAAGAGAGAGCGATTGAGCCCATTGTTGAGGGTCCCGATAACAATAAGAGTCAAATAAGGAGTTGGTTTACCTCTTATCGGATAAAAAGACGGTAATACATGAATGCCTCTGAAAAATTGAAAAAAACAAACAATATGAGTGGCCCTACCTCCTACCGAATCAGACTTGAGAGGCTGAAAAGAAGCTTTTATGCTCTTATTTTGTTTTTAATTTGACTAAAAACAATTAATTAGATTGTAAAATGATTTACCAAAGTGTCAACTTGCACTGTTCAGGTCAGAGGCGGACCCCTTAGTGGGCCTATAGGGGCCCTGGCCCCTGTGATTTTTTTCCCTCATAGCATACTACAGTGTATCCATTACCTTGTTGAATTCAAAAATTTTCAACCGGCCTCCCCCTTCCAAATCCATTCCCGAGAGGCGACAGTGAGTAGGCGAGACCGCGAGAGGACGAGAGGTGTAATCCATTGTGCGATTGGGCTATCATCGTTACTTCGTTAGCGACTTAGGCGGAGGCGAGCAGGGCAGGTGCAGGCGGAGGCGAGCAGGGCAGGCGCAGGCGGAGGCGAGCAGGGCAGGCGGAGGAGGAGGCGAGGTCTGCAGGCGCAGGCGGAGGCGGCGGCCAGCACGGTAACTTCCGATCTCGAGCCGTAGGTAAGTCCGTCCTTCTCACTTCTCAGTCACTGAGTTCTCAGTTCTGCACTTTTGCTAGTTTGCTACTGTTTTACAGCCTACCACACAGCACACTTGCACTTAACTTGCACCTTTTGTTTTGAAATCAAAACMCAAAAGTGGTGATTTACATTACAGTTTACTGATTTAGCATTTAGGTAGGTGATTATTAGGGCTAAATTTACTGAAATTGGTTATATGGTGATTTACTGATTTAGGTGTATTGGTGATTTAGGTGATTCCGTGATTTACTGATTTAGGTGTATTAGGTGATTTAGGTGTATTATACTATCKAACACAGTAACACTAAAACTGTTAGGTCACCTAAGGACTAAGGTGATTTAGGTGTATTCTAAATTTCCAATATGAATTGAAATCATACTATCTAACACAGTAACACTAAAACTGTTATGTAGATAAAGATGAAAAATCAATCTACCATTCATGGGTTTTTTAAAAGAAAGCATGCTAGTTCATCTTCTCAAGATCCCGAAGAAACAACAAATGTAGATAATACCCCTACATCTAGTATTCCGTCTATTGAATACCCTTGCAAAAAAGCTCAAATTGAAAGTAATGATATTGATCTGGGTACACTAGAACGAGACCCTGCTTTGCGTCATCAAATTTATGATTATCCTATCAATCAACAAGATACAATTCGACGAGCTTACATGAATCTTGGTCCTTTTCAACCTACACTTTYTGTGTTTCCAAAATCTGGACTAGAAAGTCATAAGCGTGCCTTTCAGGCTTCTTGGTATAAGTTACATCCTTGGATTGAATATTCAAAGACATTGGATGCAACATTTTGTTTTCCTTGTTTTTTATTTAACAAGCCATCCGGGCTCGGATACTATGGTCAACGAGCATTTACCATAGATGGGTTTCGAAATTGGAAAAAGGTGGGTGGGAAAAAATGTGGCTTTTTGATGCATATRGGAACCGATTGTACATCTTTCCACAATGTTGCACAAAAGGGATGGGATAATTTATCTAATGAGGCGCAAGATATACGAAATGTATTTGAGAAGTTCACAACAGAAGAGCGTGAGAAAAACAGATTGA